TCTCAAGTGTGTACTTCTATTTTCATAGGATATCTTCTTTTACAGCTAACGCGCAGGATTTCTCCGGAGAAAGTGGTAATAAAAAACTGGTCAATAGCTTCTTTGTTTCAGTTCATCAAGGACTAAAGATTGACACAGGGCTTTTACTGAATTTTGAAAACTAGAAACTATCCCCTATTTTGAGTAAAAAAAAATATGTTTACAAAGCCACTTATTATGAATGATCTTTAGTTTTCAAAATTCAGTAAAAGCCCTGTGTATTACAGGGTATTACAGGTATTACGAGTAATACAAGTAATACAAGTAATACAAGTAATACTTGGTAATACATGGTAATACAAATAATATGAAGTATTACAACGTAATACAAGGTAATATTGCGTAATATTGCGCAAGTAATATATGGTAATACAAGATAATACAAAATAATACAAGGTAATACATGGTAATACAAAGTAATACAAGGTAATACACGGAATACAAGTAATATCAGGTAATACAAAGTAATACAGGACCCCGGGACAGAGGAATACACGAGATGTTCACCCCTTGATCCTGAGTTGTCCTCGACTGGCTGTGACGCTGTCCTTCAATACTGGTTGTCGGTTTCCAAGGATGGCCCCTGAAAACAGCCATTTTCTGCCTATTTTTAAGCACCCGTGCTTGAAACGGTGTTTTGGTCCTTGTAAATGAGAAAATGTCCTTGAGAACCGAGGGGTCCCCCACTCGTCAACTCGTTGTACACTTGGCCGCGCCCAACTCGCGCCTAACTCGCGTTCAACTTGCGGTAACTCGCGAAAACTCGCGAAAACTCGCTTGAAAATCGCAAAAACTCGCGCCAACATCGCGCAAAACTCTCTAAAAATTGATCCTAACTCGCGGCCTACTCGCGGCAACTCGCCAACTCGGCAACTTTGTACACCTATTTTGGAAGTGGGGGACCCCTCGTTGAGAACTACGGACCGGGGCTAACCGTGGGGGGATGAAACTAAATTCCCCCTAAGTTGAAACTGAAAATTAATTTATTTTTCTTGATAAAAGATTGTAACCAAATAAAAGCAGCATTGGCCCAGAAGGCGCCAGTGCCTGGCCCATAGTCGCCACTCTGCGATTTCACTAGTTTTGATGGTTTTTTGGGGGGGTCCCAGCCCAGGAGCATGGCCCTGCCGAACTAAACTGGTAGAAGCGGTGGAAGGCGCGCAATAGTCCTGGGACCCCCCTTCCTCCCCCCCTCCCCCCC